TAGAAAAAAGAAAAAACAAACCACGAAATGAGGTATGAAACAAGTAACTGAAATTAACTAAATTATAAAGCATTTAAAAAAAAAAAAATTAATTATAAAGAAGCATCTCTCAAGTACTTAAAAATCATAAGTCAAGAAAGACTTGACCCTCTCCATTTTAGTCGAAAGCGAATCAGTTGATCATCATCGTTCGGCAACCCCCATTCAGATATATTCGCTCCTTTCAAAGGATACCATTTCCCTCCATTCTCGTCACTGGCCGCCTCCACGCTTACTTCCTCCAAATCCTGCCGCCAAAAGCAATTCTCCGTTGCGTTCCCCATCAGAAAGATATCGCACAAACGATCAACGAGTTCATTGACTCCTCCATACTTTTTAGTGACCGAAACTGTATTCGAATCGATGACTTCATTGGCACCTCCATACTGTTCAGCCATTAATTCATCCATATACAAATCAAAGAGGTCCCGTTCGTTTTCATACTCTTGAGCGGCAGACACAGACTGTTGTACATATCTTGGCCGGAAATTACCAAAGAAATAATTCAAAAAAGCCTCAAGGAAAGAAAATTTCGAATTGTCCAGTACAGTCAAGCTCTCGATCACGGGAAGTTCTTTAAGACCCTCATAACTGAATGCTAAATCCTGAGGAAAATCTCTCATGTGCAGAGAAATTCGAGAATGTCCCAATTCCCTGTGCAGTTCATGTAACTTATCAAACAAGGATGCAGCTTCATTATCATTATTAGGATTAACAGAAGTCATCAAGTAAATCTCTGATCTCCACTCGCTAGAATCTGTTGTCAACGAGATTGACGGGAAATCTTTGCAATCCAACCGGAGACAAAGTATATTCGGGAGGTTAAGAACTGCCTTGGAGGGGCCGTTCACCCCAAAACGCAAACGCTTAATCGAGCGGCTCGAGAGCTGGAACTCTTCAAGGCCACCGCAAAATCGCATTTCCAATTCCTCAAGACAGCAAAAGTCGACCGAGAACATATCGAAGTTCCTTGGGCTAAGCATCACATAATGGAGACGCACGGTCTTGAGACGAGGAAAAGACTTACGGTAGTGGAACCATCTCGAATCACCCACAATGGTGATGCTCTCTAAACTCGGAGCATTAATGTCGATGGTGACAGCATCATTCCTAGGACAATCATTGTACTCAAAGTGCTTGAGACTATTATTACAAGCCTTAACTGTTGTGAGACTTTCACAAGCCTCGATGACCAAGTATTCCATCGAGGGGCAGCCCGATATTATCTTCTGCAAAGCTTCATCTCCAATATTGACGTCAAAGAGCCAAAATCTACGTAGATGTTTAGAAAGTAGCTTGTCTGGAAGATGAATTCGGCAGTTCGCGAGACGCAATTCCTCGAGGTTTTCGGCTTCAAAGACGACCGACGGCATATCAAAGCAATCCGGATAGGATTCGAGATGGAACCTTTTCACACCCATATTCAGCAATACTATGGGGATCCATTTTTGAAGCAGGGAAATGGATTTAGGATCAAAATTGACAAGAAATTCCTTTAAGGAAAGACCTCTGTCATGGTAACCTTGCAGCGTCTTGTCCAAAGCCAACACGAACTTGTCATGATTCTCATTGAAGGAGTAATAATGAAAGTCGATTTTGGGGCGAGTGCAGCCAAGATCGCGCCATGATTTGGATAATGCGCTAGTTTGGACGGCGTGCTCTTGGGAGAGGAAACCGAGAACTTGGTGCAAAATGGGCTGTGGCAAATGGGATATTCTGTCGCGAGTGGAGTTGGAGCTGGTGTTCCTGCTTTTCGCTGGATGATGAGCTTCCATGGCCGATGAATTGACCTTTTTTTC